TCTTGTTAGTAACCTACTGTATGGCAGGTGGAGGGGCAGTGATGTTACAGGTGGAGGAGCAAAACTGCAAGACTGCAAACTCACAAGACAGAGAAATCAAAGTTTGTTCTCCAGAGAAGAGGTTGATTTCACTTCAATTTTGTATTTCATATTTTCTAAAGATGTGGAAATGGCAACAAAAAAACACGTGAGAGCTGTAACCAAGACAACTGTAACAACAGGAGTAGAGAGCCACCAAGGTTTTTCAAGTCCCTCTCTTACTCCATTTTGCCAACCCAAACTTCCAGGTACATGACGGGACACCTTGCTTGTTTTTGTTGTTTGCTCTCCTCTGGCTGGGTGCTGGCAGGTGGAGGGCAGTGATGTTGGCAGGTGGAGGGGCAGTGATGTTACGGGTGGAGGGGCAGTGATGTTACGGGTGGAGGGGCAGTGATGTTAGCTGGGTGCTGGCAGGTGGAAGAGCAATGTTTAGTCCAAATATTTCCATTGCAACAGCTAATGGAAATGATTGCAGCTGTGGATCTGTTTGGGGGTTGCTGGATGTGGTAGCTTGGCTGCTGTTGTTCCTTTTCACCTTTTTGGATTGGCTCTTGCTTCCAAAATGGCCATCTTTTAATTTTATTTTTTTTCTGTCATTTCTGATTTGTTTTGCCTCAATTCTCAGCCTCAGCCGTATAAATCTTTTTACGAGTTTTTGTTGTACTCCACAGCATGACGGAAGCCTGCTGGAGAGGGCCTGAGCTTCTTTCTCCAAGACACCCACTGCGTTGGGGAGCTGCATGAGGGAGGAACCAGTCTTGGTCCTAAATAGTTCCTCAATTTGGTGAATGAAGTCAAAGGCTTCTTGGGAGGGACGACAAAGAGCACCTGCCTTGAAGTCTTTCAAGTCCACTAACAAGCTGTTGTCACCAGAAGGACTCTCATCATGGTGCTCTGTTGCAATTTTGCATTTTTCACAGATGCTGGCAAACTTGATGATTTTGTGGACGATGTAGCCTGCAAGATGGAAGAGAATACATTTCTGAGTTTTTGTGAGGTCAGGTGCTGCTGCTCTGTTCACCGCCATCAGCTGTTCCACTCTGACTGATGGAGTGATTTTTGGCTCCCCTGTGTCCAGGAAGTCTGCCAAAAAGCTACTGTGGTCTTCCTGGTAGCTCCCAGAGCTGATGGTGGTGAGGAACTGCCCCACAGATATGATTCTCAGTGCATGTGATGGAATTCCACTGGAGTTGGGACAGGATTTTTAGACCTCACACAGCTGAATGTATTTTCAAGGCAGTCTTGTGTGAACCTTGACGTTAACACAAACCTGTGTCCTTGTGTAAGCATCTCCTCTTGTATGGCCAAAATTGATGTTGTTGCCATTATCACCCCTGTTTGAACAGGCTTCCAACCTCACTTTTGACCTATCTTTATCCCACGAAACAGATGGACGATGTTCTGGAGGAAGGTGATGGCCTTTTGGTACTCCTCCATCTTGAGCCTGCTCAGGGCTGTAATTGGATGGCGAGATGACATCAGATCAAACCAACGATCAACCTGCTCCAGGAACCACGCTGTCGTCAGGTATGACAGAGGGCGGTTTTCTTGCTGCACCATGTATTTCAGCCCAGCACTTGTAGCCTTACTGAACACATTTAGAGCAAGACCAACCTTCATCTTATCAAAGTGACTTGGCTCGATGGCTGCAGCTGAAAGATGGGGAGCTATTTTTAAGGCCATCCCTTCCTGAAAGTTCAATAAGTCCTTAATGGGGACCACAGAAACCTCGTTAGAGGGAAGGTTCTCTCTGTTAACAACATCCTCAGGAATTATGAAGACCTGCCCACGGACAAGGGCACTTTTTAAATTTTGTACCAGATGTGGGACATCGGGCATGAAATAGAGCTGCCTGTCTGGTTTTGCTGGATGTGGCACCGATGTTTTATTTTGGTCCACCCCAAAGGATTTCCACATGGCTCGGTTAGGGCTACCCATGTCGGTGGTGACATCAAGCACATGTAGCCCTATGGATGCTGCCCTCTGTATTATCTCAATAATGATTGGCCTGTACTCTGCTCCATTGGTAGAATTGCCAGTGTAATGATATGCCACTACTTGCTTCCACCGTGTTGTGTTTCCAGCCAACATAAACACACAAGCATGTGTTGCCACCCCTGTGTGACCTGGTAAAGTCACATCACCGTACAGTTTGCCTGTAATCATGTCTAACTCCACACTTGGTGTGATTGCCATTTCATCCAAGGTCAACACACACTCCCTTTCAAGGTCTGTCAATTTATCTGCCTTCAATTTTAGGAAATCAAAGACCTCTGTCAACACACCAGGCTCAAACTTAACACATTGCATCCTTCTTTGCAGTGTCCTTATTCCTGGAAGGGGAATCTTCAATTCCTGCAGAGTTTTGTAACCCGTTGGTCCGCTCGCAAAGCGAATTTTTAAAGCCTTCTTAATTGTCTCATTGCTCCATTTCATCCCCTTTGTGGTGAGTCTGCCTAATGCCTTCAGTTGGTCTTTTGAAAACGTTTTCTTATATTTCTTGTCCCTAATTTTCATTGTTTTCTTGAGAGCTGCATTTTCCTTCCTGATTTTTCTTAGTGCAGCCTTTGCTTTTTTGGTGATTCCTTCTTGGCTCTTTAATTTTCTCTTTAATTGTTGTAATAGATCTGTTTGAATGGCTGCTGGTTCCCTCGTATGCTGACTGGCTGCTGGTTCCCTCGTATGCTGACTGGCTGCTGGCTGAGTGGGTGGTGTCCGCCCTCCCTGTCTCTCCTCACTAGCCATGTCCTCTCTTTCTTCACCCTCACTTTCCTTTCTCTCAGTCTCCTCATCCCTTCTTCCCTCAATCTTTGAGACTAATGTAAGTAGAAGACATGGCACTGTAAATGTTCGAACATTTAAAATATTATACCACTTAAAAATAAGAAATATTACTTTTGTTACTAAGAGTTCATACTTATTATACCTGTGTCACCTTTCACACTATAGCTGTGATCATGAGCTATGGGCTTTGTAGATACAGGTCCCGGGGTGAATCGTGGTGCAGGGGCCCTTCTCTTTTTGACCACAGGGCGATGCACGAAGATGGTGGGTATAGCCTCTGCTCTCAGCCTAGTCTTGCCCTTTTTTATCTTGACAAACTGGTCTGCATCAAAATATGCCTGCGGAGTGACTTGAGGTTACTTCACACACAGAACAACTGTGTCTGAATCTTGTCTGCCCACATACATATTCCATAGTGGTTGAATACACAGTATTAGGAAACACTTTATACTTACTGGACATGTTATACTCATTACATACTGTATATAAAATATGACCAAGAATGTGAGACAACTTTATAGAAATTCATATCACATCTGTTACTGATGCCATTTGTCATACTTTATTAAATTCACAAATATTAAAGTTCCATAACTTCAGTTGGGAACAAAGACCACACCTTATCTCCCCAAGGCAATTTCCCATCCAATAGGTGTGCTATATAGGTGTGTATAACCCTTTCTCCTGTCTGTTTATCCCTCTTTCAGCACAAGAACCAGAGGGGGATTCAATGGAGCCTGAATACCTGCACTGAGACCCTCACCCTGCACCCTGAGTCTCAACTCTCAACTTTTCAAGCCTTTCCCTGTTTTTTTGTATTAAACAAAACATTAAGCTTTCCCAATGGTGTGGTTTTCGTTTTGTGAAAAAGTGCAAATGCAGTGTTTGTATATAATTACCTCACATATTTGTTTGCTGTTGGTTGTGAAATTGCTCCTGCTGACTTGAGCCAGCCATTTTTTCCTCCGCTCTGTGTCAGTGGAGAAGCCGTACATTCGTACTCCTTTCTCGGAGCGATTTGAGCATCCCCAGGCAGCACAGCAAACCATGGTGGCGACTGGGAGGCAGCACAGCAAACCAGGACAACACGGAGGAAAAGGCACAGACAAACTGCATGATATGCTATTCAATGTTTATTGAATTCCATGTATTTGCAATGGATGTTCCTAAAACAACACATTTAACATCATCATCATCATCATGCTGCTGCTGCTAGTCCTTTGATAGTCACCTGTCGAACTCCTGTCCTTTCTGAAAGCCATAAAGATGACATTAGTCATTTAGATAACTTGTGTCCTCAATTACCATGGGATTACTGAAACTACCATGAATTTAAGAAAATGGTAGACATTAATCTAATCTGAATTTTAAAGCATTACTTTAGATCCCCTCCCTCTAAATATATCAATAAACATTAGAAAGTGATGCTCCTGACCACCATACAAGTTTAAGAAGATAATATTGGTTTTAAAGAATTCAAAGCTATAAATAAACAGCAACAGGCTCTTTAACCAAGGCACTGTTAGCCTACCATGTAAACTAGTTGTTCACAATAATCCTAATATTATCACTTAATATTAGCAAATTCTATTTTATTTTTTAAAACATATTGATGTAAATACATACACATATCGATTTGTTGTATAAATATTGCAAATCAAAACCTTTATTCACTAATAATTACCAAAAATCGTAGTTCTATCTCCTGTTATCAGTGCATTCACATTGCCCGCCATGAACTTCAGGGGAACGATCCTCGTCTACATGAACCACGTGACGATAACCGTTTTTGGACTTCCGTTGTCGTAACTCTTCTATTATACGGCTCTGGGCGGCAGTATACGCCGTGAAGTGGTTTGCGGCCTGCCAGTAAACCCAAAGCAGAAGAAGAAGAAGTGACGTCAGCGGCTTCATTTGCCTAATTCTCCCCCAGGTTCAAAGAGTTCTCATGAACTAAGTTCTCATGAACCTTTGTGGGAAAAGTACTGCGGTGTGAATGCGCCTAATGGTATACTAAAATCCATGTGAAAAAAATTGCTTCTCACTGTTCTTAGGTCAAATATTTATATGTGATTAAAAATGCGATTAATTTCGATTAATTAATTACAAAGCCTCTAATTAATTAGATTAATTTTTTTAATCGAGTCCCGGCCCTGCAATAAACATAACACAACAGACAGCTGAGATGTAACATTTTAATTTCCCTGGTTTGTTAAACCACTGCAGCCTAATGTTTAATGATCAGATATTGTTGATTTTCAAAGTAACTGTCAATACATTTTGTACCAACATAATATAGTTCAATAATCAATCCTGAACTTCCCATTTAAAACACACCAGAGAGACCCATCATTTTCCCCTCAATTGAAAATTATAAAAACAAATATATATACAGTATTTTACTAATGAAAAAGGAGTGCATTACTTCCACTATTAATGTCTGCAAGTATGAAACACTTTTTGAACACACAACTCTGAGACAATAAATACTTTTCTTGTCCCCCTGACATATAAAGAAGTGGTAAAAGTTTATTTCTGAGTAAATAGTTTTCTGATCATTTCAAGTCATGACGGCAGGTAGTGCAATCCGTAGAATAAACTAGAGTACATTAGAACATACTCATCAGTATTTAATGTGTTTTTATGCGTCTCATCAAGGTGAACCATATGTGATCAGATTCTGAAACATTAACAATGTGTACAATGTACTTCCCCAGTTGAATACATTGATTACATTTAGTGAGAGTGAATCTTTCTGTTGAAAATCAAATGGTTGTTCTACTCAGTGTGATTGACAGGAGAGATGATCAGAGGGGCAGAGTTTTTACCACCATCGTTAAGACAAGGATCAAAGTATGGGTAGAGTTTCTCTTTGAAGCAGCAGCCAGTGAAGGAGTAGATCAGAGCTGCAGCATCAACATCATAAAAGGAGACCAGACCCTCCTCATAATCCACAAACACCCCCACCTTCTCAGGCTGAGACTTCAGAGAGAGACGGACTGAAGGAAGAGCAAAAGCTTGGTACTTATTTTCATTCCTCAACCATATCGTCCAGTAACCTTTCTGAGGAGACAGTGTGATGATTCCCTTCCTGTTGATCGACTCTCTGGCCACTCCTAAATCCCACTCAGTCTTCCCTTTAACCTGAACCTCATAATAAAATCTTCCTGAAGAGAAACTCTGCTTTGCTAAGACACAAGCACAATAATCAAATCTCTCTGGATTGTCTGGGAGATTCTTCATCACATCACCAAATTTCACTTGTTTTCCATCATCAGACAGGATGAGTTCAGGATATGCTGTATCAGGATCAAGAGTCACCTCCTCCTCATACTGCTGGACCCTCTTCAGCTCCACCTCAGAGAGCAGCTTCTTCTTCTGTTTCCTGAGCGTCTCCTCCAGCTGAGTCACAGCTCTCACCACAGTCCCCTCATATGAAGGTGGACGGACCCTGACTTCTGTCCAGTTCTTGGTGGGTGGAGCAGCGTTCAGGGACGTGAAGCTTTGGAGGAGGTGGAGCTGGTCTTCAGAGCGTGAGAGCTGCTCCACCTCAGAGCTTCTCTTCTTCAGCTCAGAGATTTCCTGTTCCAGCTCTTTGATGAAGCCTTCAGCCTGTTCCTCTGTCTCTCTCTGCTTCTCTTTGATGGTGTCGATGAGCTCGGCCTGGCTTCTCTTAACAGACTCCTTCAGAGCGGTGAAGACCTGAACACCATCTGCTATCTCTCTGTCTGCTCCTTCCTTACTGAGCTCCACTGAGCGATTCATCTCCTGAATCTTCAGTCGTCTCTTCTGGATCATCTGCTGAATTTCAGCCTCTGTCTTCCCCAGCTCAGCCTTCTTTCCTTCATATCCTTCTTTCAGAGGAACAACATCATGTGTCTTGTGGTCTGAAAAGGAGCAGAGCATGCAGACACACACCTGGTCGGTCTTACAGAACAGCTCCAGCAGTTTATCATGCTTCACACACATCCTGCTTTCCAGGTTCTCCTCAGGGTCGATCAGCTGATGTCTTTTGAAGCCTGCATTCTTCAGATGAGGCTCCAGGTGAGTCTCACAGTAGGAGGTCAGACACACCAGGCAGGACTTCAGGGCCTTCAGTCTGGTTCCAGTGCAGGCGTCACAGGGAACTTCTCCTGGTTTGACAACGTGTTGCTCTGAGCTGCTGCTGCTGGCTTTCTGTTGAGCTGACTGTCTGAACTGAGCAGCCATCTCAGAGATGAAAGTGTTGACCTGCAGCTCAGGTATTGGGAAGAAGAGCTTATTACAGTTGGGACACTGACTCGGGACATTTCTATCCCAGTGTTCAGAGATGCAGGCTTTACAGAAGTTGTGTCCACATGGTATGGTGACTGGATCAGTGAACACATCCAGACAGATGGAGCACAGAAACTGATCTTCAGTCAGCAGACAGCTGGCAGCAGACATGTCTCTCTGGGGACAAAACGTGTGAAAAAAACACAACTGTAATTACATGTTCTCTATTTGCCAGTTCATAGAGTCTACTATGAACCCAAAAATGTAAACTACCCCAACATTTTATGCGAGAAATGACATACATAGACCAATGACAACCAAAGACATTTAGGTTTTTTGTCTGTGAGAATTAAAATTCAAGTTCAAATGAAATCTGGAAAATCATAGCAGCATTCAGTTCAAACTCTAAGAAACACAATGTGTAAGCTCTAATACTGTTGGGGGATTTTGCTGTTGTTGAACAGAGGAGTGAAACCTCCTGCTGAGCATCACTGAAGTTAATGTAATGATAGGTGTTTATGCTTTAGTTACAATCATAGACTGGTTACAATGCATATATGTTACCACTAGGCGGTAGTATAACATCTATGGACATATATGTTAGCAGAAGATGTGATGTGACTGCATGTTGGCCTATACAGTTGGCTAGTAAAGCTAGTCTAAAGATACAAGATGTCTTATTTATAACCAATAAGAACATTACGTGGTACCAGGACACGGGTAAAACTTTGTCGGGAGCAAGAAGCAACGCAGAATGGATGCATTAAAACCGCCAAGTCCGTTAAATCTGACTGGAAATGTGGATGCGAAATGGAGGACATTCAAGCAACAGTTTCTGCTGTACGCTGCAGCTGTCGGAGCGGATACAAAGTCAGATGCTAGAAAAATAGCAATACTGCTAACCGTTGCCGGACCAGAAGCATTGGAAGTCTACAATACTTTTGTGTTTGCTCAACCAGAGGACAAAGATAAGTTAGATGGTGTCTTAAAAAAGTTTGATGAGCACTGCCTATCGAAAAAGAACGAAACATTTGAAAGGTACGTCTTTCGCACAAGAATGCAGCATCAGGGAGAGACGTTTGATAACTTTCTCACAGACCTCAAGCTAAAGGCAAAATCTTGTAATTTCAATGATCTCAGAGACTCTATGATTAGAGACCAGATAGTGTTTGGGACTGATGACAGGAAAATCAGAGAGAAATTATTGAGGGAAACAGAACTCACGATGGAGAGCGCCATTAAAATATGCCACGCCAGTGAGCTAGCGCGCCAACATGTACTGACATTTAATCAGTGGTGAGCCGTCAGGGCCCTCTGTGAGGGCCTAAGATATTCAAAAAAAAAATATTTGAAAACATTTTAAAAAAAACATTTTTTTAAAAAATATTATTTTTTATATTTTGTTGTTTTTACATTTTTCATTAATTTTACCAAAATAACTTGATTTAATTGTATTTAAAATAATATTTCCAAAGAAATAAATCCTTCGAATCTGCCTGTTCAGTTTCTGTTGGAATGTGAAGGGTTAAATGCCGTCTCTGCGAGTTAATGTGAAGACGGGAGGGCTTGTTGGTCCCTCTCTACATTCACAGAGGGCCAGCTATAGTAACTCAACGAGAGAGTAATGTCAAATGACAGTACAATTGACCAATCATATCTTCCCTCTAAATGGGCGGGTTTTATTTTCGCGGACTTTATGACAAGTTCCGCCCGCTGTGAGGTCTATGCAAGTGGTGCAGTGACGCGTCCTAAAACCCGGAAGTAAGCTGCGCTCGGATTCCCTTGACAGAAAGCAATGTGATTTCTCCAGAGGATTTTGGAAAATAGCTGGAAATAAGGTCTGTGGAAAACGAACCTGTTAGATAAATGCACGTTGTGTTCAGCCGGATAATATCCACATGTCTATCCTACTTTTATTATTTTTGAATCATAAATCTAATCGATAGATTTATGATCGATAGATTTATGATTAGCATAAGTTCGTTCATGGTGGCTCACTTCAGTGATAGTGATGACATCGTTGCGAAATTATTATCCGAGTCATTTTCGAGATTGAGTTACAATGATAAACTGGAGTGGCAAAGGATCAGCTGAATGACCCGCCATCAAGTGCTTCATCCAAAAGGACAGGAGGATGGACTTTGTGTTTCAGTGATTTGATCATCAAAGGTAGGCCTAAGTCATTTTCAATGCGGGCCGCCGTGCCGACTTAAATCATTTGTAATTGCTACTTGGCGGTGGGTGCCCTGTCATGATAGGTGTTTATATAAATTATGTTGTTTTGTGTGGTAGAGGGTCGCTGTCATTGATGCGTTTTGCACCCCGGACCACTGTTTTGATATTCCGCTGAAGTCTACGTTGAGACGTAATATCTCTTCTTTTTTTTCGAGGGAAGGGGGGGTCAGAGGGCCTAGGTTTAAAAGTCACGGCTCGCCACTGCATTTAATGAACCTGCACATGGAGCAGCAAGCCAACATGGAGGGAGTGAACGCTGTGTCAGTTAAAGCAAAACAGTGGAAAAGATACAGAGATAAAAACAATGATGACGAACAGTTCTTCAGCTGCAAGAGATGTGGGGAAAAACACACTCCAAGACAATGTCCTGCTTATGGGAAAATGTGTGCAAAGTGCAAAGGACAAAATCATTATGCAAAGATGTGCCTCTCCAGAGAAAAAAATAAATGCAATAAGGTGCACAGAGTTGAAGACTCAGATGACAGTGATGATTTAAGAGAAACATTTTTCATCAAAATGGTGTCACATGACGAAAATGACGGCTCACAAAGTCCAAAAGGTACTGTAAATGCTGTATCAGATGACAAATGGATTGCACCAATCCTAGTAAATGGGACAATTGTGCCATTTCAGATTGACAATGGGGCTAAAGCTAATTTAATTAATGTGAATCATCTCAAAGAGAGAAACCTAGAAGTATCTCAGAAAAAAACAAACCACTGAAGGCATACAACGGGCAGCCAATTGAGACAAAAGGGCAATGCAAGTTGACAGTGAAAGGCAAACAGTACAGCCTGTTGTTTGTCATTGTGCCTCATGGGCATGAATCACTCCTGGGCGACAAAGCTTCAGAGGACCTAGGACTGGTTAAGAGGATCTATCAAATAAACAGTGGGGACATAGTAATGGACAAACAATGCAGAAATACAAACCACACGCAGTTTGCTGGAACAGTTGACATTGTAAAGGAATTCCCAACAGTTTTTAAAGGACAAGGGACCTTGCCGTACACTTACAAGATCCAGCTCAAGGATGATGCCAAGCCTGTAGTGCACGCCCCAAGAAGAGTGCCAGCACCACTACGAGCCGGTTTAAAAAAAGAGCTTGACAGGATGACACTACTGGGTGTTATTGAGCGAGTGGAGGAGCCTACTGACTGGGTGAACTCCATCACATGTGTAAAAAAGAAAACTGGTGACTTAAGAGTCTGCCTTGATCCAAAGGATCTGAATGAGAATATCAAAAGAGAACACTACCAAATCCCAAAACGTGAGGAGATAACCTGTGAAATGGCAGGTGCAAAATATTTCAGCAAAATGGACGCTTCGCAGGGGTTTTGGCAGCTGAAGTTGGACCCAGAAAGCAGCAAGCTTTGCACCTTCAACACACCATTTGGGAGATACTGTTTTTTGAGGTTGCCATTTGGTATCATCTCAGCGCCAGAAATCTTCCACAGAGCGATGGAGTCCATAATAGAGGGTCTGGAAGGCACAAGAGTGTACATAGATGACTTGGTTGTCTGGGGAAAAACACGTCGAGAACATGACAAAAGACCAAGAGATCTCCTACAGAGAGTCCAAGTGAATGGGCTGAAATTGAACAGAAATAAATGTCAGTTTGGGGTCACAGAAATGACCTTCTTGGGAGACAAGATCTCAGGAGAGGGGGTGGAGCCTGATCTGGCAAAAGTGCAAGCAATACTGGACATGCCTCCTCCCACTGACAAGAAAGGAGGCCTGCGAGTTATGGGAATGATAAACTTCCTGGGAAAATTCATACCTAACCTCTCCTCCAAGACAACATGCCTCAGAGAGCTGCTTCAACACAACAAGGTTTTTGAGTGGAATGCTTCAAATGAAAAAGAATGGAAAAAACTAAAGGAAACTCTAACTACTGAGCCAGTTATTACATTCTTTGATACATCAAAAGCTACAGATGCATCTAAAGATGGATTGGGAGCTGTACTCCTTCAAGCAAATGGAGACAAATGGCAGCCGGTGGCATACGCATCACGAACAATGACAGAGACTGAGACGCGCTATGCGCAAATTGAAAAGGAGACTCTGGGTCAAGTGTATGGGTGTGGAAAGTTTCACAGTTACGTTTATGGTTTACCAACCTTTACAGCTGAGACTGATCACAAACCGCTGATTTCAATCATAAAGAAAAACCTAAATGACATGTCACCTAGAATCCAGCGCATGATGATGAAACTGCAGCGATATGATTTTGAGTTAATATACACTCCAGGTAAATACATTGTACTGGCAGATACTTTATCGAGGGCACCTGTACCTAGCACTGACACGAGTCTCAGATTCACAGCTGGTGATGATGTTGAAGCACACGTTCTGATGTCATGTTGCTGAAAATTGTGCAGGAGACAGAAAAAGACCCCTACACTACAAAAAGTGGCCTGCCATACTTTCAATGGTTGGACAAAAGGAAGTTGTCCACAGTTCTATCCTGTACGGGCAGACCTGAGTGTGGCAAATGGCCTGGTGCTGCGACAGAACAGGATTGTCATCCCTCAATCCATGCGTCAGGACATGCTACATCGTATCCACGAGGGACATCTTGGCATGGAAAAATGTAAAAGGAGGGCCAGAGAAGCAGTTTATTGGCCAGGCATCAACATGGACATTGAGAGCATGATAGGAAAATGTGACACATGTCTCAGACACCACTACAAACAAACAAAGGAGCCAATGCTGACTGCAGACCTACCAGCTGCACCATGGCAAAAGGTGGGTACTGATCTATTCCATCTAAATGGCAAGGATTATCTTTTGTTAATAGACTATTATTCAAACTACCCTGAGGTATCACAGCTCTCCAGTACATCAGCACTTTCTATCATCACACATATGAAGGGCTTCTTCGCCAGACATGGCATCCCACAATGTGTTGTCAGTGACAATGGTCCACAATACAGCAGTCAGGAATTCAGACGGTTTGCGGAGCAGTATGGATTTCAGCATCTTACCTCTAGCCCACTGTATCCACGGGCTAATGGGCAGGCTGAAAAAGGGGTCCAAATTGTTAAAAGGCTGCTGAAAAAGGCAAGTGATGGTAAAACTGACCCTTACCTGGCTTTGTTGAGTTACAGGGCCGCACCGCTGGAGTGTGGTGCATCCCCTGCTGAGCTCCTCATGTGTCGCAAGCTGCGCACCACGGTACCACACATTTCACACTACAACAACGACAAGAAGGTGCTGGATAATAAGAGAGTGAAGCTCAAGCTCAAACAGAAAATGAACTATGACAGAGTGACAAGGAGACTGGAACCTCTTCGGGAAGGGGATGTTGTGAGAATTGAGGGTCCTCATTCCTGGACCAGGAAAGCAACTGTCCTCAGTGAAGTGGGTCCCAGGTCATTCACTGTGAAAACGGAGAATGGTCAAGTGCTTCGGAGAAACAGGAAGAGTCTGTTGAAGACTCAGGAGAACATTGAGGAAGTTGGTCAGGAGACTGAAAAGATAGTTGAGGAGACACCAGACTTGCAACATAGTGAGCCTCCTTCACCTTCCCCAGTAACTGAAGCACCAGATCTGAGAAAATCCACAAGACAGACTTCCATCCATCCATCCATCTTCTCCCGCTTATCCGTGGTCGGGTCGCGGGGGTAGCAGTTCCAGCAGAGAGCCCCAAACTTTATTTTCCCCACATCAACCAGCTCTGACTGGGGGATCCCAAGGCGCTCCCAGGCCAGCGAAGAGATATAATCCCTCCACCTGGTCCTAGGTCTACCCCTTGGTCTCTTCCCAGCTGGACGTGCCTGGAACACCTCCCTAGGGAGGCGCCCAGGTGGCATCCTAACTAGGTGCCCGAACCACCTCAACTGGCTCCTTTCGACGCGAAGGAGGAGCGGCTCAACTCCGAGTCCCTCCCTGATGACCGAACTTCTCACCTTATCCCTAAGGGAGACACCAGCCACCCTGCGGAGAAAACCCATCTCGGCCGCTTGTATCCGCGATCTCGTTCTTTCGGTCATGACCCATCCTTCATGACCATAGGTGAGGGTAGGAACGAAAATGGCCCGGTAGACAGAGAGCTTTGCCTTCTGGCTCAGCTCCCTTTTCGTCACAACGGTGCGGTAAAGCGACTGCAGTGCTGCTCCGATTCTCCGGCCCATCTCACGCTCCATTGTTCCCTCACTCGAGAACAAGACCCCGAGATACTTGAACTCCTTCACTTGGGGTAAGGACTCATTCCCTACTTGAAGTGGACAGTCCATCGGTTTCCTGCTGAGAACCATGGCCTCAGATTTGGAGGTGCTGATCCTCATCCCAGCCGCTTCACACTCGGTTGCGAACCGATCCAGTGAGTGCTGAAGGTCGCAGACCGATGAAGCCATTAGAACCACATCATCTGCAAAAAGCAGTGGTGCAATCCTTAGTCCACCGAACTGCAGACCCCCTCCCCCATGACTACGCCTCGAAATCCGATCCATGTATATTACAAACAGGATTGGTGACAAAGCGCAGCCCTGGCGGAGGCCAACCCTCACCGGAAATGGGTCCGACTTACTGCCGAGGACCCGGACACAGCTCTCACAAGACAGACTTATAGAACAATAAACTGTTGACATAGTTATAAGTGACTTTAAGAAAAGAGCATGGTTGGCATTCATTTGATATTTGTGTCATAAGTTTTGTTCACTATAGATATTTTATTTAGAGTAAATAGCAAGTTAAAAACTGCTATACTTTCTTTACAGTATGTTTAGACATTTTGAATGTTTAAAATGTTTACATTTGAAGACTGTATGTTCCAGAAGCTTTATAATTAAGAAATGTGTTATACTGACCTGTTTGGAAAGGGGATGTAATGATAGGTGTTTATGCTTTAGTTACAATCATAGACTGGTTACAATGCATATATGTTACCACTAGGCGGCAGTATAACATCTATGGACATAGATGTTAGCAGAACAAGATGTGATGTGACTGCATGTTGGCTAATAAAGTTGGCTAGTAAAGCTAGTCTAAAGATACAAGAAGATGTCTTATTTATAACCAATAAGAACATTACAGTTAATGCTAGTTGTTAAAAAACAGTAAACGTTATCAGCTTCAAAAGGCAGACAGCAGTTACTACAGAAACAGGTTCAAAGCTCAAGGCTACTAACCACAGTGTGTACATTTGAAATCAGATGAAATATGTAACTGCCATGCCTTTTTATAAGCAACACTTGTAACATAACACCAGATCCCTTGCTTTGGACAGTCCAGAACAAATCTACTATTTAGATTCTACTTTGTTTAATAGAGTCATTTATAAAGATGTTTTCAAATACAGGAAATATGAAAATAAGGATAAGCTAATGCTAGCTTTGACTGTATGCTCTCTAACCTAACTTAACCAGAGTTTACATTGCAGTTGTTTTGTGGCTGTTGCTAATGTAAATGTTGAGGTTTTTATCTTAACTGAACATTTATATTGTGTAATATTTTTTATATGGTAAATTGATGTAATACAGTCAGATTCAGATTTTAATCCAACTTTGACTAAATGTTTAGTAAGTGATGTGTCTGTAGTGAACTCACCAGTGTTTGCAGAGTCCTGCTGTGTTGTTGAGAAGAAGCTGCTGGATTCAGTTGAGTGTTTCTTCAGAGAAACAGAGACGTGTCTCGGCTGCTGCTCTGCTGTCGCTCAGACAAACAACAGCTTTGATTTCCGGGAAATGGAAACTCTTCTCTTACAGTGTGGTTCAACCTCTCAGTGGCAGTTTGCCAAGAGGAAGTGGAGGAAGAACTGTTGAGGCTTGTTATTTAACTTTGTGACGATGCATTTTACAGCTGATCCAAGAGGCTTTTCAAATAGTGTATTGAGCATAAGTAGGAATATGTTCTCAATACATAAAGGACATCTCTTTACACATCTGGAGATTCATAGCTATATTTCACAACGCTGTGCTATGGTCCCTGTTTAAGAGCAGCTGGTGAAACACTTCCTCCTCCCTGAACAGACGGTTTGAAAATGGGTCCGTACTTAAGTGACATTTTTTGCTTTGTACTACAATTAATTAGTAAATGGTGTACTTTTACTCCTCTACATTTAATGAATACCTTTACTTACTTTACAGATCTGGATTAATGATGTGAAATATAATCAAGTCTTAAATCAGACTTTAAGTATATTTTGATGATAATACTTTTCTAACTATACTTGAGTCACATTTTGAATGCAGGACTTTTACTGTAACAGAGTATTCCTACACTCTGGTACTTCTACTTTTACTAAAGTACAAGTTCTGAGTACTTCTACTTTTACTCAAGTACAACATCTGAGTATTTCTACTTTTACTCAACTAGAAGATCTGAGTATTTCTCCTACCTCTGAGGAAAAGTCTAAGAACCTGAATGTGACCTTTGACCTCCATTGAATCACAGCTGCTTTGTTTCTTTCTCCTCAGCTTCTCGTGAGCATCATCGAGCGCGGCCTGACTTCCTTCCACGATGTTTCCTGCATTCGCTTCATCAGACGCACGAGCCAGAGAGACTTCCTGAACATCCAGTCAGACAGCGGGTAAACCTCGTATCTGTAAACCTACTTTGCAAGAAAACAGATTATGATTCTTAAAGGTCTCCTATTGTACTATTTTGAGGCATCCTTTTTTTAAATGTCCTGCTTTTTTACACATGCTCTCTCCAGTACAGGTTAGCTCTGAGTGTTAGCGATGCTTGCTAATGTAAACAAAGACCATATTACGTCCAAAACTGTCACGCATTGTTTCTGATAGCAACGTTTCTGATAGGGCCGTGGGTGTAAAGCCAGCCCACATTTCTGATATTACGTCATATCGGACGCAAATCTGGATCAGCTCCGTTGTTCCCCCGTTTTTAGAGATTTGGGTACGGAGGAAAAGAGAGAGTTTTGTTTTCTGACACTTTGTGAGTTCCCTGACACACCGGGGACACATATCTATGTACAAAGGACATGAAAAAGTGCAATTTGCATGATAGGAGACCTGTAAATGTTGTGTTTGTTGTAGGTGTTACTCGTACGTGGGGCGTCGGGGCTACTCCCAGATGGTGTCTCTGGACCGGCAGGGCTGCCTGTATCACAGCACGGTTCAACACGAGCTGCTGCACGCGCTCGGGTTCAACCACGAGCAGTGCCGCTCCGACAGAGACCAGCACATCCGGATCCTGTGGGAGAACATCCAGTCCTGTCTGTATCCTAAACTGTTCTTATTATACATCCATGCTCTAAAAAAAACTCAAATAAGCCCTTAATAAAGTATTTTTAAAAACATCGTCCGAGGCGTGTCCCATGTCTCACCTGCACCACCTCTCTAGACTTCGGCCTGGGTTTTAAACACTTTTAGGGACACTTGGTTGACTTTATTTTAAGATATTTTCCCTCCCAGTGTGTCTACTAACCCGTGTGTATTTTATATTTTACATTTTACATATTTGTTATATATTTTACATATTTTAACATTTGGGTTGATGAGATTTTTATTACCAGCACTTATTTTTAAAAGCACTTATTTCATTTTTTAACAGTAATTTTACCTGCATGCCGATTTTAAACAAAGTCAACCTCGGTTCTTTTAGCCAGATCTTTTTAACCCACTTACCAGGTCTTTTACCAGATGCTGTGGGACGCAGCCTCGGACACCCCACCGGGGGAGACCCCCTCGGGGGGGCAGGAGTACAAGTTTTAACCCCGCCGCATACACTCTGTGCTTCAGCCGCTGCTCTCTTTTATCCCTTTTATTGCATTTTCTTAAACATTTTTTAACACAGTCCAAACAGGGCTTTTATAAACTGTTATTGGTTTTACTACAGGAGTTTTTAAACAGGTGTGGCAGGTCCACGTGACACACGTGGCACACGTGATTGTGTAAACAACTTTTCGTCCCCACAAGGATAGTGATGCTAGGTCACACACACACACCCTGTCTGTATAAGTGATTGTGGTGTTAGCATCATTTAATTGATCTGACTAGAACTCAAGGAGGACATTACCACTCTCATCGAGGAAATAAAAGGTATTTTCTTTATTAAAACCTCAATAATGTGAAGATGATTCACAACATCTTCCTTCCGAAACTCTAAAAAAAGAAGAAGGTGAACGTTTAATATTGATATTGATTAACAGCTTCATTCTGCAGATCGTTGCTCGGCTTTTAATGAATTAACAACGATGGCTTTGTACAGAAAGGACTCTGATAGAATGAATGACAGGGGTAATAACACAGTATACTTTATTTGAATGACAAATTAATACATAAAAAGTCAAACATATTCAAGATAAAAATAAAGTAGGCTACCTCAGAATGTAACTAAAGTAAAGATCTTGACTGCAAGATTTTTACTGTAAGTGTAGATGTTTGTCCACTAGGGGGCGACACATCCTCACAGTTCGCATGGAGAGACCTGCTAACACACCTTTACAGAACTGCTTTAATGACACAGGTATTTAAGCATCACCACTAAAACAATTGTGTTTTCTTCAGAATGGAAATGTAAAATCAGCATTTACTTTAATGAGAAGTTTCAAATGTACGCCTAAATCCAGAAATGCCGATGAAAAACAAGTGAAATAACACATTTATGTTCACATACTATTTAAAACACAGCTTGCACAATCATCCTCAGTGTCATCTACACAGTGATCCTTCTTTAAAGATCGTTATGCAGTGTAAATAAACACAACTGAAGCCAGTGGCGGTTCTAGACCAATTTGACTGAGGGGGCCACTGGGGGGCCAGTTATTTTATGAGGGGGGCACAATAAATGCAGGACGAAAAAGAGAACTAGACAGTATGAAGTAATTGCGCATGAGAAAACAATGCAATACAGTTATTGGTATTTGTTTCAGTACACTTATTTATTTCAGATAGATCTTATAGTTATAATAATAATAATTATAATAATAATAATAATTCCTTACATTTATTATAGCACTTTTCCAGATGCTCAAAGCGCTTTACAAATACACATTACACATATTTGTTATATACATGCAATGGTCACTGTGGACAATACCCACAGGAGCAAGTTATTACTGTTAGCTTCAGCTTAAGTTATAGTGCAATGTTAACACCATATTTATATAAAAATAAAGGCAATGAACAGTTACATCTCTACTTTACATAAGGGTGTCTGCACAATCTCACATTACAGCAACAAAATCCTGCGGTGTTTGGCAAACCGAGTACCAGAAAATATACATTTAAAAAAAAAAAAAAAAAACTTTTCATTGTTAGGGGGGCCACAGGGGGGTCAGAGGTCAGTGTTAGGGGGGAACTGGCCCCCCCTGCCCCCCCCCTAGAACCGCCCCTGACTGAAGCACAAACAAAAGAACATTTTCTATTTTAAAGGAAGACAATACGGCAGGGAGGGAGGACACAAAAGCATTTTCAAGCTAATGTAACTTTCCTTTTCAAGTCATGTGTGGCTTTTTCGTCGTCTGTCGATCAGTGAAAGTCAATCTCAACCGTCTCGATCCTGATCTCCCACATTCCTCCCGCTCCTCCTCAGTGATGGACACGTCTCTGAAATCTTCGTCTCTCTCTCTGCCCTGAGGCGACACGTCGGGACTCTCTCAGAGGCAGTGCAGATATCTGAGGGAACAACGTCAACATGTCAGAACTGCTTATACTTTCAGGCTATGTTGTTCGTGTACTATTGTCAGATATATAAGGCCAGACAGAAGAGGTCCCATACTTGCCAATCCTCCCGATTTCATAGCCCTCTCCCGGTTTCCTCCCGGGGTCATAGTTCGCATTTCTTCCGATTTCTGACAAAATCAGATTTACACACGACTGTTTCCACTCGGACTTTCAGCTACACCATTGTTTGGTTTCCATGGTAGCGCGTCTCTTTAGTAGCGTGCGCAACTAGATAGTCACAGAAAAACAGAACAAGAATCGACAACTCGACCCTCTGCCCACTCCTTACCTGGTGCCAGCCCACACTATGCTCCATCAAGAGGATGGTGCTACATGCCGCAACACAGTATTTACAACACATTACAATGTAAACAAATAACATGGGTAGTATTGTGTGTGTATGCTGTATGTGAAATGAACAGAAACAATAGCTCTAATAACTGTAGAAGAAGCAGTACTAACATCCCTTAAGTGTCAAAAATACCAGGATGCACTTCTGCATGGGGTCACATTTTCCATGTAAGCGTGCTTTCCTTACGGTGTCCTACAGGTGCACATGCGTTACAATGGACCACAAAAAACATCTTCACCAACTTGAGGAAACATGTGTAGCGTTTACTAAAAGCGAACAAAACGCAAATAATGAAACAAAATAAACAACACGGACCCTAAAACGTGACGCACACAGTTGGGACCGGAGCACTTAGTGATGTGCAGGGATTATAAAGTGTGCCAACTGTCTCTGTTGTTGGAAACTTACCTAAAATAAAAATGTTTATTGACTTATTTTAACAATGGGATCGCATGATTCCTTCCGATGTTATTGCAGATCTGCTGCAAGTTAGCTAGCTAACCTAGCATGTGTTGTAATGGGGGTAAAGATGTTGGTTTTGGCACATTTGTGTATTTATATATGCATCGGGTCTGAAACCGCGCCCTATTATGCACATTTCCAGGTTCATATCAGTATGTAGTGTCTCTATATGTCTCCATGCTTCAATGTTCAAAAAGATCTTTATTTTTCTCATACTGCCTGTGCTGCAGCACCTCTTTTCACCCTCTGTCGGAAACCAGAGCCCAGTCTGCTCTGAATGGTTAGCTGGCCGGCTCTGTTGTGATTGGTCAACCGCTTAGAGATGTCCCGCCCCTTAGCCTATTACGTACAATGTGATGGAGCGCTAGCCAATAGAAGCG